CCGCGACCGATCCACATTGGTTCGAAGAAAAAGATCGGCTCCTGTGGCGGGCTCGTTGTATAATTTGTGAAACTTTGGCGCCTGCGGCAGGCTTCTCCTGAGCCTCGCAGACTGCCGACGTTCCCACCGCCCCCTCACTCCTATCCGCATTTGCGGGGTGCTACGTGATATACGTGTGTATATATATACGTGTGTGTATGTGCAGGTAGCTGTGCATGTATACAGCACGAGATGTGGGTGTACGTATTCGTGTTTATATACGCACATGTATATACGTATGCACGCGTATGTGCACGTACATGTGCATGTGTATGTGTATGTGTATGTGTCTGTGTCTGTGTCTGTGTTTGTGTCTGTGTCAGTGTCTGTGTTTGTGCCTGTGCCTGTGCCTGTGCCTGTGCCTGTGCCTGTGTCGGTGTCAGTGTTTGTGTCTGAGTATGTGGATGTGTATGTGGATGTGACTGTGAATGTGTATGTGTAGGTGTATGTGTATGTGTCTGTGTCTGTGTATGTGTATGGGTATGTGTATGTGCATATGGATCCAGCTGCCTGCGGCAAGTCCCGCCACCGTGTCATCCCACCGCTCTCGGTGTCGATCACTTGATGGGGGCGCTGCAGGCTGTCGCGCGTGACACCTCGGGCCTTTCAGAGGCCATGGGGGCCTGCTGGGTGCCTCCTGGGAGCCTCTTCTGGGCCTCTCGACAGCGCCTTGGGGCTCCCTGGAGGGGGTTCCTGGGGCCGCCCGTGGGCGCTCTGGGTGCCTCCTGGGCGCTCAGAGAGGTCCGTCCCGGGTGGCTCTCTGGGTCGTGTCGGGGCCAGGAGGAGGAGGAGGAGGAGGAGGAGGAGGAGGAGGAGGAGGAGGAGGAGGAGGAGGAGGAGGAGGAGGAGGAGGAGGAGGAGGAGGAGGAGGAGGAGGAGGAGGAGGAGGAGGAGGAGGAGGAGGAGAGGGCGCTCGGGGTCCCCCTTGGTCGCCGCGTGGTCGCTCTTGGGCCATCTCGAGCCGTCTTGGGCGGTCCTGGGGCTCTCGTGGGCCGTCTTCAGATCATCTTGGAGGTCTCTTGACCTGCAGCGAGGATGCGACAATTCATCAGACACTTGAGGGCAATCAGTTGACCGTTTTCTTATTCATTGTTTTGCCGATCGGCGCGGACCCTCGCCCCATCCCCACCCATCCCTCCCCCCATGGAGTAGATCTTGGCTGTTTTTGGCGCCTGTTTCAAGCAGGTGGAGTCTTCCCCCATAGGACGCACAATTGCAAACAGTCGCACTGAGCAGAGGTCAAGCGCCAGACCGCCCTCCCCCCCCTTCTGCCCAATGTCGAAACGCCGAATAAGAAAACGCTCACAACCAGTGGGTTCCATCTCCTCGGGCCTTGCAGGAGGCTGTCTTGGAACCCTCTTGGGCCGCCTTGGGGGTTTCATGGGCCGTTGTGAGGCCATCGTTGGCAGCATTTGGGACACTATATCGGGCCGTGCTGGGCAGATGTTCCACCATCCTCGGAGGGAGGGGAGCTATTGTGGGTAGCCTTGGGGCTGTACTGGGCCGTGTTGGGGAGATTTTCCACCATCGTGGCACCTTTGGTGGCCTGCTTGGGCGGTCTTGGAAACCACCTTGAGCATCTTGTCGGCGTCACCCCAACCTACTAGTACTATGTGTGCGTCGCCTACCAGGGGGCGACGCGCGCACCGAGAAATCTTATAGTATGTGCGTCGTGGTGGGCGCTTTCCGGCCACACCGCTCGGGAAACAAAACACTACAACATGGGTATAGTATATGTTCGGGTCGGACTCGCGCCTCCAAGGAGGACATGTAGTGCTTGTATTTCTTTGTGCCTCAAGCAGACGGACGCTGGTAGCAGATGGGGTCCCTTAGAAACTACAGAACCCAAGCCAGACACCACTTGGTTTTCAACCATGCCTCAACGTGCCAGGGGGCACGGCGGCGAATATGTGGTTGATATTGGTATATATATATGTATCCAGGTGCCCGTGGCAAGCCCTGCCAGCGTACCAGCCCAGCTTTCTGGGAGGCGACTGGTCGAGGGTGGGAGAGCCGTGGTGAGGATAATGACGAGGATTGATGCTGATGATGATGCTGATGCTGATGCTGATGCTGCTGATGATGACGATGATGGTGTTGATGATGATGTCTACGCTGATGGTAGTGATGATGAGGACGATGCTGCCGATGAGGATGGTGATGGGGGCCATGCTGATGATGCCGATATCTGTTATGGTAGTGTTGGTGGTTCTGATCATAATGATGTTTCTGACGATTAGTGTGTTGACGGTGATGGCGGTGACGCAAATGATGATGCCGCTCATAATGATGACGATGCTGATGCTGATGATGATGATGTTGAGGAGGATGAGGATGATGATGATGACGATGGTGATGACGATGACGGTGATGACGACGACGAGTAATCGTGGGATGAAGGGAAGCCTGCCACCGCTTCGCTTCGTCCTTGAGGCCATTTCTCCGCAGCTCAGCGTTCGTGCGCGCGTCGGGAAGGGAATCGAGCTCTACAGGAAACTAAATGACGTTGTAAGTAGATAAGAACAGCGAGAGTGGGGGAGCAAGAAGAGGCGAAAGCTGAGGTGGAGAGGGAGGGGACAGAGCGAACGAATTACCGTCCTTGAGATGTGATTATGTATTTTAATGTATAGTGTCGAGCCTGGCTGGTGCGTGGTGGCGAAAGTGGCACGGTTGCGCCGCCCATGTTGCGCAGGTATATCCGAGCACGACCAGTGTTTTTCGCAAATAGCAGAAGATATGCAGAGAAGCAGGCACACCATGATGATTTTGCCGATGATTGATGCTGCTGGTGATGGTTGCAATGATGATGAGACGGGTGGCAATGATACTGCTAATGCTGAAGAAGATGATGATGGCGATGATGATGATGCTGATGATGATGATGATGATGATGATGATGATGGTCAATATGATGGTACAGATGATGCTAGTGATTGTGACGCTGCTGCTGATGATGATGATCATGCTGCTGCTGATGATGGTGATGGTGGTTGTGGCGGTGGTGGTGATGATGATGCCGACGACGATGATGATCATGCTGATGATGATGCTACCGACGAGGTTGATGGTGATGCTGATGATGATGATGACGTTGCGATTGATGATGTTGATGATGATGCCGACGCTGTTGCGGATGACCATGATGCTGCTGATGATGATGATGATGATGATGGTGATTGTGATGGTGATGGTGATGATAATGATGCTGACGATGATGACGACAACGATTCTGCTGCTGCTGGTGATGATGTCGATGATGCGGCGTGCGTGTGATGATGCTTATGGTTATGGTTAAGGTGATGATGGTAATGATGATGATGCTGATGATAATGTTGATAATGTTGTTAATGACGATGATGATGATGCTGTTGATGATGTTGATGATGAGGATGATGATGATGATGACGCTGATGCGGATGACCATGATGTTGTTGATGATGATGCTGGTGCTGATGATGATGTTGATGGTGATTGTGATGGTGATGATAATGATGCTGATGATGATGACGACAACGATTCTGCTGCTGCTGATGATGAAGATGATGCGGCGTGCGGGTGATGATGTTTATGATTATGATTAAGGTGATGATGGTGATGGTGAGAATGATGATGATGATGCTGATGATGACGTTGATGATGTTGTTGATGATGATGTTGTTGATGATGATGTTGATGATGATGATGAGGATGAGGATGATGATGATGATGATGATGATGATGATGATGACGATGATGATGATGATGATGATGATGATGATGATGATGATGATGATGATGATGATGACGTCGCCAATGCTGATTATGATGCTGAATATTTTGTTTGCAATGGGGGGACTTGACTGGTGATGCTGGTAATGATGATGCTGCTAGCTGTGACTGTGGTGATGGTGGTGATGGTGGCGATGCTGACGAGTATGCGGGTGCAGGTGGTGATGATGATGGCAATTCTTTTTTCCGAGGATAATGCGATGATGCGTGTCATGGTGGTGTTGATGGTGAAGTTGTTGGTGATGATTCCCGTTGTGGTGGTGGTGGTGGTGGCGCTGGTGATGTTGTAGCTCATGGCGTCAAGGATGAGGAGCACGGGGGTAACGAGGAGAAGGGGGATCGGAATCAGGTGAGGAAGGGACGGGAGGATCCCTCACCTCTTTCCTTCCTCCCCTCCTCCCCTCCCCGCCCCCCCGGGGCCCCTGCTTCGCTTTGCCATGCGCCTTCCCTTCCGCCGGCCCTAGCCAGCGCCCCGCTCTGCCCCATAATCAGGATCCCTCATCTTCTTCCCCTCCCCTTCCCTCCCTTCCCCTCCTCCTTGTGTGTGTGTCTACCCTCTCTTGCCTACCTCCTCTTCTCATCCGCTGCCCTTTCGGCCCAGGTGTCGACGTGCTAGTACCCTCTGGTTGCGAGAGGAGAAAACACCCACCGTCTCCATCCTGCGGATCATTGGCAGGGCTGGCTCTCTGATCCTTAATCCTTCCCTCACCCTCCCTTCTGCCTCGCTTTGCCCTCCCCTGACCTTCCACGGCCTTCCGCAAGCGCCCCGCCGGGCCCTCGGCGTCAGGCTCCAGGAAGGCCAGCAGGTCCGAGGGGCCCGGGAGGCGCCAAGACGTCCAGGGAGGGTGAGATGTTTTTTGTTGTTTGGTTTCCTCAGCAAACTTGTGCATTCCTTGCACACTGGGGTTTTCCCCGGCGCACAGGTTGCCTTGTCAGTACCGTGGTAGCGCTGTAGTAGTATTGTACTAGTATGGTAGTAGTACTGTAGTAGTACTGTGGTACAGGGGGTAAGGCCCGTAAGGCCCCAGGAATCTCTACCCTCTGGGCCATCCTGGGGCCATACTCTCCGCGCGCAGGCCGAGGGGGACTCAGGAGGGCTCCCCTGGCAGGGTCTCTCAGGAGGGATCCAGGATGCTTCGGGCGGGCTCAGACAGGAGGCCTCGGGAGGCGTCCTCGCCTTTGCGCCTCTAGAGGTACGCAGTGCTCATGCACAACGACGCGTACCCTCTGGAGCGCGATTTTGCGTGCGAGATGTACCGCGCCCTCGAGGCCAAGGGTGGGGTAGGAGGCGGAGGAGGAACATGATGAGGAGCAGAAGGGGGAACAGGACTAGGAGGAGTAAGAGGATGAGCAGAAGGGCCCCGTGGAGAGGAGGGGAGACGGGATTGGATGATGATGAGGATGAGGATGAGGATGATGATGATGATGATGATGATGATGATGATGATGATGATGATGATGATGATGATGATGCTGACGCTGATGCTGATGTTGACGCTGATGCTGATGCTGACGCTGATGATGATGATGATGATGATGATTTTGCTGATGATGGTGGTGGCGGTGGTAGTCGTAGTGGTGGTGGTGTAAGTGGTGATGATGGTGTTGTTAGTGGTGGTGGTGGTTGATCTTGATGTTGATGCCGATGATGATGCTGCTGATAATGATGATGATGATGATGATGACGATGATGATGATGATGATGATGATGATGATGATGAGGGTGACGCTCATAATGATGACGATGATGTTGAGGCTGTCGATGATGATGCTGCTGATGATGACGATGATGATGCTGGTGCTGGTAATGATGGCGATGCTTAAGATTTTGCTGATGCTGGTGATGACGACGATGATGATGATTCTGATGATCAGGATTCTTTTTTATGATGATGGCGCTAATGGAGATGCTGACGGTTATCATGATAATGCTGATGCTAATGATGCGGCTGATGATGATGGTGATGCTGATGATATTAGTGATGCTGATTGTGATGATGCTGATGCTGATGATGGTGACGATGATGATGAGGATGATGAGAAGGTTGAGGAGGGTTATGTGAAACTGATTATGATGAGAATATGCTGGCAACGAGGAGGAAGAGGATTGCTGATGATGCTGTTGATGATAATTGTTCATATCCTGATGATGAGATTGCCGACGACGACGATGACGATGATTAGGTTGCTGCTGATGATGATGCGGTTGATGAAATGCTTCTGATGGTGATGTTGATGTTGATGTAGATGTAGAGGTTGATGTTGACGTTGATGATCATGATGATGATGATGACCATGTTGATGACCATGATGATGGTGATGATGGCGATGCTGCTGATGTTGATGATCATGCTGATGATCCTGAAGACTCTGACGACGATTCTGATGCTGATCATGGGGAGGAGGATGATATTGCGGAGGATTGATGATGATGCGAGGAGGATGGTGACGATGATGATGTTGATGATGCTGCTGCTGACGATGATGACGATGCCGACGACGACGATAACGATGACGATGACGATGATGATGCAGATGATGATGATGATGCTGATGATGATGGTGATGATGACGATGACGATGATACGAAGGTAAGATTTTGATGGTGATGATGCGGATGCTGATTCTAAATGTGATGATGCTGAGACTGGTGTATGACGATGCCGACGATGATGATGATACCGAGTCTATTGATGATGTTGCAGACGATGCTGATGTTGGTCACGCTGCTAATGCCGATGACCATGATGCTAATGATGGTGATGATGCTGAGGACGAAGACGATGATGATGATGACGATGATGTTGATGCTGATACTGATGCTGTTCCTGATATGATACTTGCGACGCTGAGGGTGTGGATGAAGAATATCACGCCGCTGTTGCTGTTGCTGATGCTTCTGCTGATGATGATATTTATGCTTATGATGATGCAGCTGATGATGCTTCTGATGCTGCTGCTTATGCTGGCGATGCTGATGAAGCTGTTGATGCTGATGCTGATTATGATTACGATGATTATGATGAGGATGCTGATGATGCTGAGGATGATAATGAGGATGCTGATGATACTGCTGCTGATGATACATATGATGATTCTGATGGTGATGATGCTGATGATGCTGATTATGATGATGATGATGATGATGATGATGATGATGCTGATGATGATAAAGATGATGCTGACGAGGATGATTCTGACTATGATGATTTTGTTGATGATGCTGATGATACTGATGATGATGACGACGACGACGACGATGATGCCGACGATGACGATGGCGATGACAATGACGACGACGATGATGACGACGAAGACGACGACGATGACGACGATGATAATGATGATGCTGATGATGATGATTATGCTGATGATGATAATGATGATGATGATGATGATTCTGATGATGATGCTGCTGCTGATGATGCTGATGATGATGATGGTGATGCTGCTGATGATGATGATGATTATTATGATGATGATGATGACGATGATGATGATGATGATGATGATGATGATGATGATGATGATGATGATGATGATGATGATGATGATGATGATGATGATGATGATGATGATGATGAGGATGATGATGATGATGATGATGATGATGAGATGATGATGATGATGATGATGATGATGATGATGATGATGATGATGATGATGATGATGATGATGATGATGATGATGATGATGATGCTGATGATGATGCTGATGATGACGATGATGGTAATGATGAGGCTGTGGATGAGGATTATGAGGAGGGTCAGGAGGAGGAGGAGGAGGAGGAGGAGGAGGGCGTCGGAGGAGGAAGAGGAGGAGGGCGGATGAGGAGGAAGAGGATAACGTCGGAGGAGGAGGAGGAGGAAGAGGCGGGGTAGGGGCAGGAGGAGGAGCGTGCCTGTGGTGGTGGTGGTTAGTTTATTTGTTGGTTTGCTTGTATGTTCGTTTGTTTGTTTGTTTGTTTGGTTGGTCGGTTGGTTGGTTGGTTGGTTGGTTGGTTGGTTGGTTCGTTGGTTGGTTTGCTGGTCGGCTGGCTGGCTGGCTGGCATATTTGCAGTTTTTTTGTTGTTTCTTCCATTGCTTGTGTGTTTCCTTGCTTGTTTATTTGCTTGTCTGGTTGGCTGTTTGTTTGTCGTTGGTTTGTTTGTTTGCTTGCTTGCTTGTTTGTTTGTTTGTTTGTTTGCCTGCCTGCCTGCCTGTCTGTCTGTCCGTTTGTTTGTTTGTTTGTGTGTGTCTGTGTGTTTGTGGGCGGGTGTCGGTAATCCTGTGTGTTCCCACTCGTCGCCCTCCTGGTCGACCGCCGGGCGGAGGCGAACCCGCACTACCCCATAGCGGCTCCGCAGATCTACGAGACCGCGGCAGAGGGGGTGCGCGCCGCCGCGGGGGGGGCGCCGCCCGCCGCGGCATTTATGCCGTCCTGCGGCCTGGACCAGTCCGCCCCTTCGCGGGGAGGAGAGCGGAGGAGCAGGAGGAGGAAGAGTAGGATGAGGAGGAGGAGGAGGAGGAGGAGGAGGAGGAGGAGGAGGAGGAGGAGGAGGAGGAGGGGGGGGAGGAGGAGGAGGAGGAGGAGGAGGAGAGGAGGTGAGGAGGAGGAGGGCGGGGAGGAGGAGGAGGAGGAGGAGGAGGAGGAGGCGGCGGAGGAGGACGGAGGAGGAAGGAGGAGGAGGGCGGGGGAGGAGGAGGAGGAGGAGGAGGACGGAGGAGGAGCAGGAGGAGGAGGAGGAGGAGGAGGGAGGAGGAGGAGGAGGAGGAGGAGGAGAGGAGGAGGAGGAGGAAGCAGCAGGAGGAGAGGAGGAGGAGGAGGAGGAGGAGGAGGAGGAGGGAGGAGGAGGAGGAGGAGAGGAGGAGGAGGAGGAGGAGGAGGAGGAGGAGGAGGAGGAGGAGGAGGAGTAGGAGGAGGAGGAGGAGGATGTGGAGGAGGATGAAGTGGTGGTGGTGATGGCGGTGGTGGTGGGGGGAGGGGGAAGAGGAGGAGGATGGGGATGGGGATGGGGATGGCGGAGGACGGGGGGCAGCGAGACGAGATGGAACGGAGCCTTCGCGCCAGGGCGCGAGCTTTGGCTGCTGCCCAGTATCGGAGCTAATCTCACCCCCTGGACTTCTTCTGGAGCGCATTCCGAGCGGGACTTCGGCGTTGGATCCAGCCGTGGCGACGGGTGTCCCCCCCTAGGATGCTCACAGAGGCGGCGAAAGCTGATGGAAGTCCGCCCGCCGCGTCGGCAGAGCGCATGCGTGTCCAACCCAGGCTAGTCGACTCAGTCGCCAGCAGTGTGCTGAGTGGCAGGCCTCGTAGCTTGTCCCGAGAGTCGAGAATATCTCGAGAACGTTGCAGCGAGCGGATGGGAAAGGTCTTCGAATCAAGCAGAGGCAGGAGAAGGGACATGCAGAGGATGGATGAAGGGCGGCTGGGGCGGCTGGGGCGGCGGCATGGAGATCCGAACCACGTGACGCAAAGGATAGACAGAAATGTCAGCGGGGGAACTGTCTAGGAAGTCGGCCAATCCTCGCCACGAACAATTCCCTTGACCCTCACTCCGAGTCCCCTTCCCTTCCCCTTCCCTCCACTCCATCGGCGCCACCGAAACATACTAATGCCATGTGTGCGTCGCCCCCGGAGGGGCGACGCGCGCGCCGAGAACTCTTCTGGTATATGCTCCGTGGCGGGTGCTTCCTGGCCGTACCGCTCGGGAAACGACAATCACACTACAGGATGGATGAGCATCATGTTCGGGTCGGACGCATGCCCCCGAGGAGGACACGTAGTACTAAAACCTTTCCGCGAAGCTTAACGCGAGTTTTCCCGGGCCGCGTTGGCACCCCCAGACTTCCAAAATTCAATGTTCTCATACCGAGGCACGTGGCTTCAAATCCTCCGACGGTCTCCGCGCACCGCGCCGCGCGTGTAACCGAAGATTGAACTTGGGGGCGAGGGGAGGCGGCAAACCTTGTGCTGAGTTTCGCGGGGGGTTGTGCAGTCGGCCCTGATTAGTAGGTCGACCTTGCTAAATCAAGGGTACCCTCGCGACCTGTGCCTCCTGCATTCGTATGGCTGTGTGGCAATCTGAAGGGTCTTGTGTCCTCTCGCGTGTCCTGTCCAATCAAGTCCGACTGTAGTATGTCCTTCTGCGTCCCACATCCTGCCCTCCCCCCGTGCCGCGCCGGAGGTCATCGTGCCCCACGGGCACCACCAGAACCTGCACGCCCGGCCGTCCGCGTCCGGCCAAGGCGCCACGCTCCTCCCGGGGGCTGCGGCGCGGCGGCCTCGGGCCACGCAGACGCCCCAAGGGCAGCTCCGGTCGGCCACGCGCAGAAGGGGGTAGGGGGAAGGGGGAAGGGGGAAGGCTTCTTAGAAGCACCCTGCGTCTCAGAAGGCGCGGGCCTTGTCTGTAGATGTAGGGCCTGCGCCTTCCAAGAAGCGGGTTCCTTCTAAGAAGCCATCCCTTCTCCCCCTACCCCCTTGTGCGCGCCGCCCATCCTGCCGCCACGAGTCCTGGGCTCGCCGCCAACTGAATGGCGGAAGAGAACGGGGTCGACTACGCCGACATGGGCGCGTAAGCTGCCCGCGTGCGGTCGCAAGAGACAGCGCCCTCTTCTCCACGCGGTGCGCCACGCTGGCGGCCCGCGCGGTCCACCGCGAAAGGTCGCTATGTCATCTCGCATGAGACCCGTTTCTGATCGTCGCTCAATTGGCGTTTTTCTTCGATCGCGGCCTCCTGGGCCCGTCCTCGGGCTCGGGGGCCACCAGGAGTGGGCGCAACACTACACCCAGGGAAGCGGGGGGGACCTTGGGGCCGCGAGAACATATCGGCGCATGTCAGGGCCTCAAGGTTTTTGGCTGCTTCGGGGCCCTGCTCAGGTCGGGGGTTTCTCCGAAGGGCTTAGGCGACCCGTCCTCCTCCTCTCTCCTTCTCGTCCTCCTCCTCCTCGTCCTCCTCCTCCTTCTCCTTCTCCTCCTCCTCCCCCTCCTTCTCCTCCTCCTCCTCCTCCTCCTCCGCCTCCTCGCCCTCCCCTCCTCGGGTCGCCTACGGCCCTGGGGGAAACCCTGCAGGGAAGCGAGTGGGACCTTTTGGCCGCGACAACAGATCGGCGGATGTCAGGGCCTCAAGGTCTTCGGCTGGGCCCTGCTCAGGCCCCTGGGCCGTCAAGAGACGGCTTAGGACAAGGATCAGGTCCTGGAGACGGCCCAGCGGTCCAGGCTTGGGCGTCGCGCAGGGGGGGGGGGGCGATGCTCGGCCACGCGCAAAAAGGGGGGGGGGGAGAGGGGAAGGCTTCTTGGAAGCACCCCTGATTCCTGGAAGGCGCGGGCCTGCTCTATGGATGTCAGGCCGGCGCCTCCTGAGGAGAAGCCTCCTTCTAAGAAGCCTTCCCCCTCCCCCTGCCCCCTTGTGCGTGCCGCCAAGATTCATGGGGGAGCAGTAAGCAAGGAGGGCTGCAGCAAAGGGGCCCTGCCAGGCCCCCAGAGGGGCCCTTAAAGGAGCCCAAAGGGGGCCTCGAGGGCCCGATAAGTGCACTTGTCTTCCCCCCACCATTCATCGCCCCCCCCTTCAGCGAAGCGACGCCCAGCAGGGCTCGCTTTGCTTTCTTCGGAGGCCCGTCTCTGTCGTGCCGACCCCTCTGCTCGGGCTGCGCCTCTCTCTCTCTCTCTCGCCGAGGTGTGTGTGTGTGTGTGTGTGGAGCCTAGGCTTGAGTGGGCATGTCCCTCGACAGGAGGAGTATTCAAGATTAGTCAAAACATAGTTAGGAGGAGTATTCAAGAATAGTCAAAACATAGTCAGGTTTTTCTGTTGACCAATTTTGAACATGTTTTGACAAATTTCCAGTTTTCTTCCAAAACCCGCCTGTACTAGGACGTGCCCGACCTAAGCCTAGACGCTGGAAGAAGGGCCACTTGGGCTCACGAGGGGCTCTGGTTCTAGGGCGGTTCCTGAGAGCTAGGCCGGGGAAGCGTTTCGTGGCCGAGTCTTGCAGCGACCAGAAAACCCTTGTGTTCCCTGTTCAGCGTTCCTGATAGTCAGCACGATGACAGAGTGGCGTGTAGCCCAAGGTGGGGTTCAGGGAGCGAGCCCCCCCCCCCCTGAGGCTGATGGCTCCTTCCTCCACGGGCCGTCCAGTGCGACCTTCCTCTTTGCTCCACCCCTGGCCCCACCTCACATTCTTGCCCCCCCCCCGATGTCGGGCCGGACGCAACAAGGGGGCGAGGATCGGGCGCGGGGGGGGCGGGGAGGCACGACACCTGCTGTTACGGGGCGTGAAAACGACCACAGCCACTGCTTTTCTTTTGTTGCCGCCTTCCAGCCCGCAGAAACAAAGCAGTGGTTGCGGTCATTTTCGTTGAGCTTGGCACCAGGGAAATGACCACAACCACTGCTTCTTTTTCGGCCGGCTGGAAGGCGGTGCGCAAACAAGAAGCAGTGGCTGTGGTCATTTTCCCGTCCCGCAGCTGTGTGCGCGTGCCGCCGGTCTCGGCCCCGCCGCCGGGTGCCTACCTGGACACGTCGTCGCTGCCAGCGCCCCTGGAGGCGCCAGTGAGAACCAGCCGGATGCGGCTGATCCGCTGACCCCGCGTTTGCGATCCCCCCCCTCTCGTCCGACCCGACCCTGGGTCAGGAGGAGCAAGGCTCCCGACGGAGGAGGGCTCGCCGTCGACGCTCTCGTCATATCATGTCCGACAGGGGCCCGTCCTTGCTGAC